TTCCTTGCATTAAAGCAAACAAATTCTCAGTACATCAGAGGATTTGCTTAGAAGGCTGCTTGCTTTCCAAAGCAGGGTCACTGCCATCCAGTAGTACCTTTTGGCCTGCTGCTTAATTCATTTTTGCCTGTTTACTGGCAATTGCCTGTTCAGGTAGCAGGTAATTATTTCATCTCATCTACTGTGCTTGGCTAAATCTCACTCCACTAGTCATGCAGCCTCGCTTTCGCATTTGTGTGATGAATTTTCAGTGACTAGTAGAGCCCCTGACAACATGGAAAAATACTGAAAGGTGTGAGATGATAATCTTGAGGGTTAGCAGAGGTGAGAGAAGCCCATAGGCTCTGCGTTTTTGAGCTTCAGGTCCCTTATTCTGGCATCATAGCAAAAACCCAAGGCCAGGATCCATTTTTCCTGGCAGGTTTTCCCAGGGACCTGGCAGGTAATACCTGTGAGCGCATCAGTACAAATATGAACAAAAATGAATAATAAATCATGAATAAATGATGGAAGATAAACTGGAGAGAAGAGGAGGGCAGCGAGCATTAAAAAAGTGAGCCACTGGAAGACTGGAATCACTCTTCTCCCACATGGTAGCAACTGCTCTTCTTGCCTTCTGAAGGCAGAACAAGAAATTGTTGGTCTAAGTTGCTACAGTGCTGAAGAAGAGATTCCATAGATAATGGAGGATGCTTCCAGTGATGAGAATAGTTGAGCATCAGAATATGTGATGCTTTGAAATCTGTGCCATCTGCATCAGGGGACACCTGGACATCAGCTACAAGACACTTGTCAGAGATGCAGTAGGTGTGCTCAGCCCTTCAGCAGAGTAGGTGAGGGATCAGCACCCCATCAGGTCACCAGGAGGTGCTGAAAGATGATACATTCAGCTACACCCGAAGGATCTGTTTTGCAGATTCTCTTGTAACTTGCTTCAGCCCTCGAGCAGTGTTAGTAGCCCAACTGCCTTTTCAAGATTTCATGCAGAATGAAATGTGATTGATGTTGTAGTTTTGTTGGGTGTTGGTGGAAGCTGCCGTTTGCAGTGCAGCATTAACAGACTCTCCTCTTGCAGGGGTTGGCGTTGATGACATGTTCATCATGATTGCTTCCTGGGAACAAAGTTTAAGGAAAAAAGATAAATCCAATGTTAAGTCCCTGCTGGCTGAGACTTATTCAGAGGCAGCACTTTCTGTGACCATCACCACTCTGACAGATGTTTTGGCCTTCTTCATTGGCACCTGGACTGCTTTTCCATCCGTGAGGTCTTTTTGCCTCTATACGGGCACAGCTTTTGTCTTCTGTTATGTATATACCCTGACCTTCTTTGGGGCAGTTCTGGTATTAAATCACAAAAGGGAGCAAGGGAACCGACACTGGCTGACTTGTATGCGTGTGGATGTAGGTAAAGATCAGGCTGAGAACTCCTGCTTGTACAATGCTTGCTGTATTGGCAGCGGCTCTAGGCAGCCATCTGAGCCAGAAGGTGAGCATCCAATGATCATATTCTTTAAGAAGTATTATGGCCCTTTTGTTACAAATAAGTGGCTCAAGCTGCTCATGGTGTTGCTGTACGGAGCATATTTGGGTGGCAGCATTTATGGGTGTACTCAGATCAGGGAAGGCATCGATCTCCGAAATCTGGCAAATGACAACTCCTACGTTATTCCATACTACGACGATGATCAGAAATATTTCTCCACATATGGACCCAGGGTCATGGTTGTCATTACTGAGAGTGTAGATTACTGGAACGAGTCCGTACGTCTTGGCATTGAGAGCTGTGTACAGAATTTAGAGAACATTTCCTATGTAGATAAGAACCTCTCAGAGTCATGGCTGAGAGTATACACAGAACTTGCCAGAAGGGGTTTGATAAATATAAACAATAAGACTGAATTCTTAAACAGATTAACTGTACTGTTCAAGATGCTTCCCAGTTTTGAGTGGGACATAAACAAGACTCAGGATGAAATAGAAGCTTCACGTTTCTTCATCCAGACAGTGAATGTGACATCAGCTGTGGATGAGAAGAATCTCCTCAATGAGTTAAGAGAGGCAGCCAAGCAGTGCAGCATTCCACTGCTGGTGTATCACCCAGCCTTCATCTACTACGACCAGTACCTGGTAATAGTGCAGAACACTATTCAGAACATTGTCGTTGCTGCCGGGGCCATGCTCGTTGTCTCCCTCCTGCTCATTCCCAACCCCTTGTGCTCCTTGTGGGTGACTTTTGCCATAGCCTCTGTTATAGTTGGTGTTGCTGGTTTCATGACATTCTGGAGCGTCAATCTTGATTCCATATCCATGATCAACCTGGTCATTTGCATTGGGTTTTCAGTAGATTTTTCTGCTCATATTTCCTATGCCTTTGTTACGAGTGGAGAGTCGTCAGCCAATAAAAGGGCAATTGAAGCTCTGTCCCTGCTGGGTTACCCAGTACTACAAGGTGCAGTTTCTACGATACTAGGAGTACTTGTCCTGGCTGCAGCAAACACCTACATCTTTAGGACATTCTTCAAGATCATGTTCCTTGTTATTTTATTTGGGGCACTTCATGGCCTTGTTTTTATTCCAGTGTTTTTAACATTTTTTGGAAACTTTGGCAGTTCACCTCACAATACCATGTCTAAAAAATTAGAGCATAGGTTTAGAAACGATAAAGACTGTCCATGAATAATTTAAATATAAGATTTTAGTTATTTACTATGTGTAGGTTCAAATGCAGTAACTGTCAAGGAATATAAGACTTGAAAAACAGAAGAATAAATATATCAGATTAACAAAGGCTTCAGAAAAGCCAGACAAGAAAAATAACAACAAACCGCACAGAATGGATTTGCATTTTTTACCTTTGTGTATGTTCAACTACCGCTTTAATGTTGTTTATCTTTTTTGTGTGAGTTTTTTACTGAATGTATTAAAATTATTACAAACACTGACCACTGCATCAGGTTAATGGACTACGTTACATGTTTGTCAGGACACGTTCATACCAGGAAGAGTAACTCCCACTGGACTGGATTTCCTTCCTGTTTCCTTGATGCTGTAACTCATCCCAACACTGAGCTGGAAGACAGTTTTTGCCCAAGAGGCTCAAATCTGGGTGTTTTACAGCAAAATTACAAGAGGACAGAACTGTCTCAGACTGCGTAACTCGTAAGCCTTCAGGAGACAAAATGTGCTGAGGTTCCTAATGCAGCATTAGAAACCCTTGGGGAAGACTCACTGCGAGCTGGCTTCTATTTTCTATTCAAAGCCTTTTCTTGGTGTCCTGTTTTCTAGCTAAGGTTGTACATCTGGTACCCTTAAGAAGTTTGTGTGTAACTTCTGTTGGCTACATTTTGCAAAGGGTTGTGCTGTAGGTTATTGAACGTGGACCTCCTGAGTAACCATGCTGGGAGCTGCTGTGCCATGGCATGATAGGGCAAGGATTCTCTAGAGAGAATCACAGCCTGATTTGGGACAAAGTGAAAAAGAAAACCAGGTTTTAAGCAGATCAGTCCTAAAACTATAAACTTCATTGTGTTCATCAGTGACAACCCATCCTGTGATGTGTTGATAGAGCAGAGGAGCTTTCACTGAGTAGTAGCTAGGAATATATGAGGTGATCTTCTAACCTACAGGGACAAGACAGTAAGTGAAAATCAATTCATAATTTGTTTCCAATATCATGAATGACCTATTGGAAATAAAATAAATGATGGTAACCAGTGTTTGTAATTCTGGAAAAATTGGTGTAGAACTTATTAAATCTGCTGCTGTGGTGGGTTTGTTCTAAGAGACTGAGCAAGTGCGACAAAGCCAGGGAGTGCCTCTGTTCCCTGTGGATATCTGGCTAGTTTCATGAGACCCAGTAAACAGGGCAAGATCCTTCTCTTTCACAGTCATAGAATAGTTTGAGTTGGAAGGGGCATTTGTGTTGATTTGGCACGGCCTTGTTTTTTGGTAGCAGAGGAGGGCCACAGAAGTGGCTTCTGTGAGAAGCTGCTGGAAGCTTCCACCATGCCAACCTCTGATGGCTCTGAAGATACTAGCCCAATTAGAGAGGTTGGTAACACCTCTGTGATGATATATTTAAGAAGAAAATGAAAGCAGCACACGTGCAGCTTTTTTCCAGGAGTGGCAAAGCGCTGCCACCTGGGCCTCCCGGCAGCCTGAGGCAATGCGCTGCAGCTGCCGCCATCTTGGCGCGGCCTGTGGTGAGCCTTGCCTGCCTGGCCACCCCTAGCCAGCCGTGCTGAAGACAGAAGGGCAGGTGTGGTGGCCACAACTTCTCCTTCCCAGCACCCCTCGTGAAGAGAGGTGTTAAATAGTGCCAGTGCCGCGGTGGCCACCACTGCCCGCTCGCTGGTGGTAAAAGCATGGCAAGCGACTCCCGGCAAGGAACTTAGACAAGACTAGACAAGTGCCTCTTGGCACTGCAGCATCCTGCACGAACCTTTTAAATGGTGGAACTTGTTGGCAGTGGTACCTACGGGCAGCACCTTTTCTTCTAGTTAGAGAAGAGGAGGAGGTGAGGACATGTGAGGGAAAACGATATGGTAGCACTAAGGTAAATGGAAAAAGGGGAGGAGGGGCCCCAAGCACTGGAGCTGACATTTCTCTGCAGGCTGTGGTGAGGACCATGGTGAAGCAGCTGTGCCCCTGCAGCCCATGAGGTCCACGGGAGATGCAGAGATCCACTCGCAGCCCATGGCAGAAGCACTCATGCCAGAGTGGATGGATACTGGAGAAAGTTGTGATCTAGTGGGAGAACCAAATACAGAGAGAGGGCCCCTGCTTCCAGGAACTGAGAGACAGGATGCTTGCTTCCAAACTAGAGCAGCCTGCCCTTAAAGGACTCCACCCCATGGCCAAGTGACCCAGTCCACAGCAGTTTTGGGAGGACTCACATTGCAGCTGTTTTGCCAGGACTGCTTCTCCTGAGATTGGAACCATGCTGGAGAAGTTCATGGAGAACTGTCTCCTGTGGGAGGGACCCCATGGCATAGCAGAGGAAATGCTCCTCTCCCTGAGCAAACTGAAAAAGATCTTGGGTGACTAACTGACCAAAACCCCCATATCCTGTCTCCCTGCGCTGTCCGTGGGAAAGAGGGAGGGGCTAGGGGGGAAAAAAAGTGTTTTAAAGGCTTATTTTACTTCAAATTGTCTTCTTCTGACTCTCTTAATAATAAATTCACTTTATACCTTTAAATTTTAACCTGTTTTGCCCTTAGGGTGTTTTCTCCCACTCCTCATCTCAACTTGTGAGCCCTTTGTTAAATGTTTTCCTCTCTTCTGCCCAGCTGAGAGCAAGAGAAAGTGAGCAAACAGCTTTTGTGGATGCCTGGCTTTTGGCTAGTGTCAAACAACATTTTAAAGGTCATCTATATCGACAATTGAGAGAGATGGGGGCTACTGACTCGTGATCAGAATCCAAATTGACTGTGAGCTAAATATGCTTATATACCACTTTTAGGAGGGCTAGTCATTTTTTACTACATTCATTGGGTTAAACCTCTTTACGTTTCTTGACATTTCTACTTTAGTTCAATCTTCTTTCCTGTTGCCAGTCTTGATCCAATCATCTTGTAATCTTCTAAGCTCTGTTTGCTTTTGCAGAGGCATCTTGGTTATCAAACTGCATATGATAATTAAACCCACAGTACTCTTTGTCTTGGCTTCCACACATCTAGTCCAACCCTCCTGCAATAAGCAGGGGCATCTTCAATATGATCAGAGTTGTTTACAGTCCAATCCAAACTGACCATGAATGTTTCCAGCTCTCTGGGAAATCTGCTTCAGTGTTTTACCACTCATATTGTAAAAGAAATTCCTTGTATTAAATCAACTATCTTTTAGTTCACTCATTACTGCTTGTCTTGTATCAAAGGCCCTGCTAAAATGTTTGTTCCTGTCACTACTCCAGGTCCACTTTTGCCTAGAGCCATCTCCAGGCTAAACAACCCCATCTCCATCTGTCTTCACAGGAGAGGTACTCCAGCCCTCTGATCATGTTTGTGGCCTCTTCCAGACTCACACCAGCAAGTCCATGTTCTTCCTATACTGGGGACCCCAGAACTGGATGCAGTATTCCAGGCAGAGTGGTATCCTGACCCTCAGGCATGTCACCTGCACCACTCAGCTCAGTGACATCTGCAGACTTGCTCAATCCCTTTGTCTGTGTCATTGAAGAGCACCTTAAATAGCAGTGGTCCTAGTATGGACCCCTGAGGGGTACCACCTGTCACCAATATCCATTGGGACAATGAGCCACTGACGACTACCCCTCAGATGCAACCAATTGACCAGTTCCTCATCCACCTAGCAGTCTACCCATCAAATCCAAATCTCTCCAAATTAGGGAAAAGAATGTCGTGGAGGACCATGTCAGGGCTGACTAACACTCCAATTTCCATGCCAAGTGTGTAATTTCCTATTAAAATTTTGTGATTTTTTTGCAGAGCCACACCATTATGCATCTTGGGTGTTCCCTTCCCCTTAAGGCTGGAACATCACAGCCTTGCTTGGAAGTGTCTTTCCTAAGAAGGGTTGGGCTGGGGAGGCAGTTTTAACTGTTTCCTGCTTCACTTCAGTGCCTGAACACAGGAAGAAGAGCACCAAAAAGAGATACAGGAATTGTACCATGAACTTCTAGAGTAGCCTGGTAATGCTTACCAAAAGTAATCAGTAGTGCCATGGCACGGTAGCCCTACATTTCCAGTCTAGATCCAGCCTAGATCCAGTGCTAGATAACATATTGAAAGGTTATGAAGGATTGCTCCAACCTTTATGAGCTTCAAACACACTTTCTTTGCCATGAAATTCTCATCTTACCAATAAAAACACCTGTTCTGGTGCCACTGACAGATTCTACAGGAACTCCTGCATCCTCCAGGGCTTTGTATGTGCACTCTATCAGCAATTTCTGTTGTGGATCCATGCGTTCTGCTTCCATATTATTAATCCCAAACAGGTGGTTGTCAAATGTATTAAATCTGAAATACACAGACCAGACTAGTATATGACATATGTGCATAAGATGTGTTTCCTTCTAGACTCACAGTAAACATTCTTTGCAATTTCATGGAAAGCAGAGCAGTTACTGGTGTTTAGACCACAGTTCCCATTATGAAATTCAGAAGAAAATATTTATGAGCCAAAGATGTTTCATGTCCCACCACAAACTATGTCATTTTATCAATGATTCTGCATTTCAGAGTTAATTTTTTCCCCATTATTTTTCTCATGGTTATTGCACTATTACCATCTGGACTCCTCAAACTATGAAATGTGCAGAATGAGACTCCCTCTGGTGTAAAATGGTCATAGCCAACAAGTAATAAAAAAAATTAGAATCTCTCCTCACTGAAAAGAATCCCCAACAAAAGCTTGTTTTCTACATTATTTTAAGCCAATACGGACAAATGCTTTGCAATTTAAAACCAAAAGGGAGAGGATCAGCTCAAGTGTTTTCAATGGATACCCATGCTTCTTTAACAATATATTCAAAATGCTTTCTGTGTGCATGTATATGTGTGTGTTTGTGTTTAAAAGCATCTTCAAAATAGGCCCATGCTCACAAAAGACCAAGTCCAAGTTTAATCTGTATCCAAAGATCAGATTTATATGCCCTTCTATCGTTTCTTGATTCCAGAGCAAGATTCAATATCTAACATGGCACTAAGCACTAGATTAATTCTGGGTCCTATGGTTCAACCCTGCCAGGTATAAATTTCAGGAGACAATGAGATTTCTTCTGTGCAGGTCAATTTCTCCTTGGAATGAAGCTCTACAGCCTGAGGGTTCTAGGTGAATGTGGAATTGTAAACAGAAACACTCAGGTTGACCCTACTGTAATTTGCTATTCTTCACACTATCACAGCCCCTGAGCAGCACTACCCATAGTCTAAGTACTACAAAAATCAGTGGTGCAGCAGGGTAACAGACTCACTCATCAAGAAGAGCAGCTCGTGTTGTGCACATTTTTCCTGGCTTGTTATCATCTGCATCATACCACTCCTTGGCATTGAATCTCTCAGGGGGGATTTCTACGGTGCAGTTTTTGCCTTCCTCCAGGACTTTCCAGAAACTGTCAATTCCTTCTCCTGTTGTACAAAGTTTTTAAAACAGATTAAAGGATGCGCTCCCCTCCCCATGCAGACTCAGAAATGCACAATCACCTACAAGGACCTCCCACATGGAAATCTAGGCTCTTTAAATAGACTTGACACAGAAAGATGTGATCCTTCTTTGGTGAGAGAAAAAAGGAAAAAGCATGACTGATCCCCTCACTGCTTGTGTAAAAGCAAAGGAACCCCATAAAATCCTTAACCACCTTCTCTCCCCATTTCCTTACTATCTCACTGCATCTACTCTAAGTGCTGTAATAAAGCAGAAAACTTTTTTCAGATAAACCCAACCTGTTTTTATTACAGCCATTTGCTGATAAGAATGTCCAGCCTTTCATCTGTCCTGTTCCTATGGCTGTAGAGTCCTGTAACAATGCACAATCACCCAGTCGGTGATCGTGCAGAAAGTTCAAATCATCCTATATCCATCCAGCTCATTTGTATGAGTTTCATGTGCAGCTCAATGCCCTGCCCACAGCCAGCACTGCAGCTTCTTTTGTCTGTCTGTCTGCAAAAAAATTCAAGTCAAGTAGTTTCCAGCACAGCACCACCTTTCAGAAAATATCCCACAAGCAGCAAAGCAACAAATTTTAATAAGGGACAAACATGTTGGTTTCCTCCATTTCAACATTAATAAAAGACTCTGCTTTTCAATGTTCACTCACAGCTTGCTTTGCTTTTACCCCAAACTTACCTCCAGGAAAGTTGCATCCTATTCCAACAATAGCAACTTCATCTGCACTCTCGATCTCCATCTCTCGGGCTGCACAAGACAGGAGTGGTGTCAGCCCAGTCAAATAACTATGCATTTACTGAATAAATACTAGCTTAAAAGGTGAACTTCCCATAAATACACAAACTTGTTCAAAACTTGATTAATCTGGAATGATAATCTACTGTTAGTTGTGATGACAAATGACACTGCCCACAAGTGACCAGAGCTGTTCTATATTTTTCTTCTTGTCTCTACTTTTGGAAGAAATTCCACACTTAATTCCCCTAACTCTCTCATGCACCAACACTTCCTTTTTACTCTCTAACCTCTGCTAACAAAAGGAGAATCTTTGCAATAAATTAGATGGCAGAGACAAGAATTCCCTTTGGGGTCAAATTAAATAGCCCACCACAGTATTAACAGATAATTTCTTTTTCCTTAATACTCAGGAACTTGTCAGATGAATATCAGTCCAACTGAACTAATAAGAATTCACTAGAATGCCCAACTCTAAGCTCTTCCTCAGTCCTCCTGGTTTTCTTTCAATCCACAAAGACGAGAGGATTCCTCTAGAAAGGTTTTGTGGGGAATTCTTGGCAGTGGGGAGAGTTTCCCATCCCAGGGATAGCACAGCAGGTCCCAAAGAGCCTTTCTCTGTCACTGACTGGCAGTAGGAAGGCACAGATGAGGCTGTTTCACAGCCCCACACATCACTCAGAGTTATCATTTCTTGCAGGTTTGCTTTGAAAGGTGAAATTAGGA